TAATCTACCTTTCTTGTTTTATGTACCATTTATGGGTTACGTACCAAGTTTAATGAAAAATATGTCATTATAGCCATATTATAGAAGCCCCCAATGAAGTTACCAGTTAAAACACAAATAAACCATACAAATTGTCTTAATAAACCTAGAAATCTGATAACACCCAAGTCTTACATAATGTCACACCAAAGACCAATAATCACGGAAGAAAAGTGTTAAAATACTTTTTGTTCAGATACATGCTACACACAAACTTTTACCACTCTACACCGGGGATACCTAAACAGAATCAATGTAAAGAACCACTCTGAATCCTCCACAACGCCATTTTCTTCAAAGAGTCGATGCATATCGCCATCTTTCAACCGTCTCTTACCATGAGATCGGTCTATAGGCATCGAATATGTATCCCCCTTGAACATAAGCACTGCAATGTCTATCTCTGGAACCTGTCCTTCAATATGTGCGTTCCAAAATTGCATTAGTATTGGCTTCACAACGCCAGCGACCTGCGAATCGCGCGCACCTGCTGCACCTCCTGTCCGCGTGAGCCGACCAGCACCCGACGCGCTCAGTCTGCAAGCCTGACCTGCCAGATGCCCAGCCCTGACCCACAGCGACCCGAACTGAGGCTAATTGAGTCCAGTCGCGACCCGACTGAGCCCAACTGTGACCGATTGGCCCAAGCCCGACATGTCCTTGACCCGGTGATCCGTTAGTGACTCGGTACCCAATTATGATAAATAAGGACTAGTCTGGTTGCCCAACAGACTCTTTGGTTTAGACGATCTCCTATAGAGGAAATCAGAAATGTCTCAGAGTCAACAAAATTTTTAAATGGTAATGTCCTAACACTATCTATAGATTCTGCTGCGTTAGAGTTTATTTCAACTGATTCAAAAGTGCATGTTGTTGACATTCCTAACATAACCCAACAAATAGGTATCATGTACCGTCTAGTGCCTTCTTCTCTTCCTTCACCTAGGAGAGCTCGTCTTTTTATTTCGAGGTGACCACCTTTAGTTTGGACACCGAGTTGTGAACTTCTTCTAGCTCCTTTTTGGCTTGCCCTAACTCGATGGAGAAGGTCTTTGTCTTGATCGCCTCATGTAGGATGGGTGAAAATCCTGATAGGGCCCATTAAATATTGAGCGTTACAACACAAATAATAATAAGTATATGGAGTTTTATATGTAGAGAAAAGGTTGGTAGGAAACCTGAAGATGGATTGTAAAACAAGCTTAGAGACGGGAATCACCAGCCCTGTAGGTTGTATCCCCTTCAGTGAAGATGGACATCAAGTATTGTTGTAGAAAATAATTATTTTTACCGTGTACGTAATGAATTCCATGGGTCAATCTATCGAGGAGGGCGGTTCGAAATATAGAATTGGTGTCACTCACACAAAAAGAAAATATGGTATTAAACATTCTATTTACGATTGGGTGTTAACCGATTCATGAAATTTATCATAACCCTCGATAGCGATACACTAGTAATCAGCTCTTCGGATAATCACATGTGCTTGAATAATCTAAAATATGTTTGTGTATCTCACATGACATCTATATTATACTTAACATCTCCCACGTGCAATTAGACGCACTTTAGAAGATACAATTGGAATTGAATGCACTCGACATAACACTGAAGGGGATTATGTTTTCAAATGGCAAGTTGTCATTAAGCGCTTTAGATCAAAGTTTGTCTTTGTAGATGGATGTGAGTAGATCGCCAGACAAAATTAAGTTCAAACAATGGACATCATGATATTTGAACTTGGAGGCCCAAACAAATTCCTTGTGTATCATTTTGATAAGTCATATTGTAGCCCCTAGATCTGTCTTGGGACCTTGCCTTGAAGATAATAACGTAAATGAAGTGAACACGATGGAAGAGGAAGAGAAACCTCTTGTTGTTGGCTTCCGTGTGCAAGTTTATTTCACTCTTGTTAGCCGTCGAAGACAGGTAAAAAATATGTACTTGCAAGGATTTTTTTCTGATTACCCTTTATTTTCTTAAATGTATTAATTTTAATAATGTTGTTCAATTTAAATTCATGCACTTTTTTTAATTCATTATCCCACAGACGATCCCATCAATATATTGGAATGAAGAGTTGATGGGAAAATATGATCTTGTTTAATCTGCTCTTATTCGGCTTGCGGGCAAATGGACCATTAGGGCCAAGAAGGAAGGGACGAAGCATATATTCACTGGACTCAGGGCTTTCATTCATGATTGTGATATTGCTTTTGGGAGCATTTTGGTATTTAGAAAATTCAATTGCAATTAAATAATTTATTTGTTGATGATTGGACAATGATCTTTCACTCGTGACATATGCTCTGTTTGGTCTTCAACAAATTATTGTCATTTTGTTAATAAATGTTGAACAATGAATGTTATTTTTGAATGTAAATGAATGTTCACGTAGTATTCAATTTGTTAATTTATGTATGTTCGGATGTCTTTTTCAAGATTCGAATGGTAAAGGTAATCTGCATTTTCTTAGATATTGATTGCAAATTTCAGTTTGAAATTCATATGTTAAATTCATATATACATGTAATGTGTAAATGAATTTTGACACATTTATTACACACACACTGAGTCGGCTTAACAATGTCCACATGATTATATGCGTAAAACTAAAAAATGTAATAAAGGTAATTGACTCACAGAACTTCATTAAGATTATTTGCAATTTATATACTAATCTCATCATCCATACTCGAAGGCAAGTGTGCCACAAACCAATCCATACTTTCAAAATTGAATAGTAATTTTAAAAATAAGTATGCGGACCATATGTACAATAGATCAACAAGTGAATCGCAACATGAATTTTGTGTTCGAGCATTCGCTGGCTTACTCTTCATCCCACAACAAATGAATTGTAACATGAGTGTTGCGTTCGAACATCGACTAGGTTAGCTCTTCATCCCACAACAAGTGAATTGTAACATGAGTGTTGTGTTCGAGCATCAGCTGGGTGACTTCTTCATCCCACAGGCGTAGAGTAGTGCTTATGACTTTGCTTAATGATGTAGGGTTGCTTCAACATTACAAATAAATTTGGCTATTTGTGGCGAACTATGGTAATATAACCAATCACTTTACAACATGAAGTAACAAGTTAAAGTCAAAATTGATTCAGGTATGATGTCATTGCCCCAGTGGACAAATAAAAGATGTTCAGATAGAAAAATTCAAGGAAGTGAATTTTCATACGTTTCAAACAGCTCACGAATTGCAACTAATAAATAACACATTCATCATTCCAATTAGGGCATTTCATCAAACATGTAATGTGCTTGTTAAGCATAAAAAACAAAATTCAATGCTCAGTTAACAATTTCAGATCTTAGCATCAAATCAATTCGTAGCCATCCTTTATGATACAAGGATAATAACAAAAATCTTTTATCATACCTCGCAAATCACCAAGAATCAGAAATTGCATTACAAAATCACTATTATTTTTTTTGAATTATACCACGATTTTTTTTTTCAATCATAGTTTACATGACGTATCGTGAAAAAGAATTAGAAGGATTTTCTTTACAATTTTTAGTAACAAAACAGAAAAAAACACAAAACACATTCCAAATGAGTATAAATTGATGAATAGTGTGTCCGATGGAAACCTCAACATATGCATTATGAATTGTTCGAACATATGTGGTGGAACCTCTACAAGGAGATTTCTAATAGTCTAATTCAGACTTAGGGTCGGGTACATCCGGCACATGTACATCAAACGGATCGAAATTTGGGGATTGTTGTCGGGAGGTGACCAGAATCGTGATTCCTATTCGACTCGGCGAAGATTACCTGAGAGAAGCGTAACTCCTGGGGACGATTAGATTTCCGACGAAGGAAGATGGTGAACAAGAATAATGGTTAACACATTTATTGAGGGATATTTTGAAGTTAAGATATTCGTAAATAAAATGATATATAATAGTACAAATCTTAAGTATGTGATGATATGTTATTGTATTTGTAAGATTGCAATACACATATGGACTTTAAACTAAATATAAAAGTTATTTTATAATTATTAATTATTTTAATTTTAAATTAAATTAAGGGTATAGGATATAATAGTACGTTATTTGCATGTATGAGTCGTAGCAAGCAATGTACGAGGCAATCATAATTCTTTTATGCCTGATGCCTCGTACATCAATGTACGAGGCAACCTAATTGTAATTTAAATGTCAAAAAGTAGGTACATGTTATTAGGTATGTACGAGACAACATATCCGTAAATAGCCATCATAATTTATAA